TTTATACTTTATTTATTAAAAAACTTATAATTAAGGCTAAAAGCATATAAGGCTAGCCTTACTTTATTATTTACTAAAATAGGTATTATAATAAAATAATATTAAAAATACTTAAAATATTTATAGTAATTATAATAACCTCTTAGTTTTATAAAAGTGTTATTTTTATATTATAAATAAAAAAAGGCTATTAAGTTTATAGCTAAGTACTTAGGTAAAGTATTATATTATTATAGGCTTAGTACCCTTTATACTAATATAATAAAAATAATATAATATATTATAATTTATTTAAGTTTTTTTAATACTAAAAATAATATTATAGGGCGCTAGGACCAGGGCAAGGACTTATTTTTTTATTATTTTTTAAAAATATTATTATTTTTATAAGCTTTTATAATAAAAAAGTGCCTTAGCTATAAGTATTAGTTATATAGCTTATAAATAGCCTGCCTAACATACTTTTAATAAGTTTTTAAAATATAAATAATTACTTAGTTTACTCCGGGAAAGGTGCTGCTTATATTAATAATATTTTTTTAACCTTTTTTAATAAAAAATTTTTTAATTAATAAAAATACTTATTTTACTACTAGTGCTTTAATACTAAAAAATTAAAATTTAAATTATTATTCATATCAAAATACTTTAGTACTACCTTTTATAAAATATTAACCTTTTTTATATATTTTTAATTATTTTATTATTTATTAATAATAGGAAAGCCTTAAGCCTAGGCTTTAGCTTATATTATATTATTATTTAATATAATTTTTAATTATTTTAAATATTATTAGTTATTTTAGTTTAATACACGTGCTTGGTTTTATAAATTATAACTAAAAACTACTTTTTTTATTTTAAGGTAGGGTTTACTACCTAGGCTTAATAGTTTTTTATATATTTAATTAATTACTAGGGGGTGCTATAACTCCCTAGGTTAAATATTTATTAATTACTTATATAACTTTTATAATAGTATTATTCAAAAACTTAATATATTAATTTAATATTTTTATATTTTTAAGTTCCTTAGGTTAAAAAAAATATTATTTTATTTTTTATAAGCCTGGCCAGGCACTTAAGTTTATAATTTAATATATTATAATAATATTTTTTTAATATTTTTTTTTCACGCCCTGGTACTATAATAATTAAAGTTTAATAATTAAAGTTATTATGTAACTTGGGTATTACTAGCATGTAAGTAAAAAAAATATTTAAAAAAATTAGGTTAAAAATATAACTAGCTTTATATATAACCATGCTTAATTTATTAATATAATTAATATTATTATTATTAGCTTACTTAATAATTTTACTACTATAGTATAGGTTATTTACTTTAAGCTTAAAGGTATTATAAGTAATATTAAGATCCCTGTTAATTATATAGTTTAAAATAGGGATTAATATAATTAAATAATTAATTATTTTATAAATAATTAGTTTTTAATATATATTTAAAACCTTAATATTATTTATTATAAGTTATAATATATCCTAGCTTTATACTAGGCAGTATTATTTAGTATATAATACTTTTTTTATAAATATAAATAAGTACTTTAAGGCGCTTTTTTAGCTAGTTTTTATAGTTATTTTAAGTATTTACTAATATATAATACTTATATACTAAATAATTTTAGGTTTTTATACTTATAGTGGTCCAGGGCTCTTAAATATAGGTAATATTATAGTTTTTTTTATAAGCTAGTTATAAAATTATAATATAACTAGGTATAAATTTACTTATATTTACCTAGTAAATAGTAAGGTTTTATTATTACTAGGCACTATTATAATAATAGTTATTATAATTTTTTTAGTACTTTATTATTAAAGCTTAAGGGGGATTTAATATTAATTTTTATTATTTAAGGTAAAAAGGCGTGCCCGTGTTAGCTAGGGCAGGTTAAATTAATTTAATAAAAAATTATTTAAGGTTTTAATTTTTAATAAAAATATTAAACCTTAAAATATAATAATTAATAATTATTATAAAGCCCTGCTTATTTACTTTAGGCTTCTTTATAATATACTTTTAAAAATTTTTAAAAGTAAAAACTACTTAATTTTAGCCTAAAGCTAGGTATTTATATTAGCTTAAGTATATATATTTTAATATTACTAGGTATTATAGCAGTATATATTATTAAGTTTTTTTTTAAATAAATAAATTAAGGTTTTATTTTTACGCCTAGGGGCTACTAGGTAATTATTATATTTTATTAATTAAGGGCCTAGGTAGTTTACATAGTATATAAAATTTTTATAGTTTAGGCTAATAAAACCTAGGTAATTTATAATTATTATATTATACTATATATAATATATTACATAATTATAACACGCTAGGTAATAATATTTTTAATAACTAGGGTTATATTAAGAAACTAGCTAGTATTTTTTAATAAGCTAATAGTACTTACTTTAGTTAAATAAAATAAAGGTTTTAGGTTATTTTAAAAAAAATACTACCTAAGTAATATATTTAGTATTAAAATTAGGCCTATATTTTAAAAAAGTCCAGCTTAATTAATTTTAATTTAATTTAGGTTATAACTTTATCCTGGATTAGCTTAATAATACTTATTTTATTATTATTATATACTATAATAATACTAGGCACTTTTTATATTATATAGTTATATTATTTTTAAAAAATATATATATTAATAGCGCCTAGGGTATAGTAAATTATATTAATTACTTAATTAATTATTAAAAAACCTTTAATAAAAAGGTTATTAAAAATAATAGCCTACTTTATATAAATAATATTAATTTTAAAAATAGCCATGGTTATAGTTAATTTTAGCATATACTTAATAAAGGCTTATTAAATAATATATATTTTTAGGCATGCTATTAGCTTATTACTAGGAAGGGTAATTAATATTTTATAATTATTTTATATTATTAAGGTTATAATAAAGTTATTATATATTAATTAAGCTATTAAGGTGCTTAAAAAGGGCACCTTGCTTAAAATAGTGTTAATTAAAATAAAAAAAACTTATTTTAAAAAAGGTAGGTTAAACCCTTAGAATTTTTAAGGGGTTAAACCTATTTTTCCCTAGGTAATAGTCTTGCTAAACGTTATTATAATAATAAGCTAATTATATATATATATAAAAATATAATTAGTACTATTAATATTAATATAACCTTTTAAAAAAATAAAATATATAAATTTATTATAAATATTATAGGTAAAGGCTTGCTAGTCCTAGGTTTTTTATTTAATTATAAAATTATTAATAATAATTATAAAGCCTATAAAAACTTTATATTTAATATATACTTAATATTTTTACTTATTAAATTAATTATAAAGGGCCTTTATAACTAGGCTAGGCTAAAAAGTTAATATATTATTATTTTTAATAATAAAAAAAAATAAGCTTGCTAGGGGCCTTTTTTTATTTTTTTATAATATAAAAATTAAAAGGGGATAAGGGGTTTTATAACTATATAAAATTAGCTAAGTTAATATTTATAAGCTAATTAAAAATACATGCCTTAATTTTAGCTATTACACCGCGGGGAGCGGTAAAAAAATAAAAAAAAAGGTTAAAAATAAAATTAGGATAGTAAAAATATATATTTATAAGACTTTTAAAGTATCTAGAGCCCTTATTTAAAGGTACCCCTAGATTGCTAAGAGTTGTAAAGGTGCAAAATTGGGAAGGGAGATCATGGTTTGTCTAACTGGTTATTACAATCGCTAAAAGTGCAGGAGCGCATTGGCCGGGGCGGTCGTGGGTGTCATCGACTGAGGGCAAGAATTCGAGCTCTAGGGGGAGGAAAGAAAGTGTTTAGTTAGTGATTAGCTGTCGAGGGGCAGGGGCGTTGGGGTTAGAGAGACCCTGTCTACCATAGTTTAACAAAGTTCTGTAGGTAAATAGCTACATGTGCTAGGTATGACGGCAAGGAAATGACAGATCATGTTTCACTCAAACCGTGTTTCACATCTCTTCAATAGTAATGTCTGAAAAGGTAAATCATGCATTCTCCATATTGTAAACAGTACATGTCGTTATCGTCTCCGGGTGGATTGATCTCCGAGTTAGGGCTGAGTGCTGACATCATGACTGCATCAGCCGCCACCAACTTCATCCCATGCGCCCGACATCTCGCATAGGAACAATATCCCATTCTCTCACAAGTACAACCAACCTCTACAAAATCACTAGGTCGCCGAGAACCCATTCAAGTTGACCTCCAGATTCCCCCGTGACAAGCCCCCCCCACCACCAGAGCCATGCCTCAACAAGAACAACTAGGCTTCATTACAGCCAGCAACCAACTGCACAATCAAGATGCCAATCCCGAGCCTCAAATCCAAGTCCCAGCCGCAGGCGAAACGTCCACATCACCCGGAGCAGACCCGCCACCGCACACGCAGACGCACAGGCCGAGTCTCAACTCCGAAGGCATCACCATGTCCGGACTATACGCGGCGGTAGATGGCAAGGAAAACAGAAGATATTCGGCGATGGACGACGACTCGGATGTCTGGGAGGTGCCGAGTGGTGTGTCGAGTCCGGTGCCGCGATGATAGATCCATGATTTCATGTACCTAGGTAGTTTTAATGGATGTACATGGACCAATGCTCTCTGTGCAAGGCTAGGGCCAATACTTCATTCAGATTATCTATTCTGTTTTTTTAATGCTACTGCTATAATCCTACTCCAATTGCAATCCCTCCCTCCACATAAACATAGTTTCCCCTCATAAGCTCATGCTCGCGCCACAGTTGCATAAGGTTGCATGGGAGCATCCGAGCGGATACCCACCAGAGCCAGCCATGGACGCCGCCGTTGCCACGAATACATATCTATGACCTCTTCGCTCGCCTCCATATAGAAGCCAGCCCAGAGACAACCCGTAGAACTTATACACGACTTCCCATTCCATCACGCCTCAGGTGTCCTCAAAATCCTCACACAGTTCACACTTAACACCCATTCAATCCAACTCGGCCTAAAACACCATGGATTTCCCACAAGACCGCTACAACTACGATTACAGCGACCAGAGCCCTGTCGAAACCAGCTATCCCACCAGCAAGCCCCCGCTTCAGCGAAAGCCCGGAAGCATGTGCAGAGGGTTCCCCGACAAAGAGGGCCAGACTGATGGGGTGGAATTGAGAGAGGTCGATGGGAGTACACCCGGGCAGCAGGATTTTATACGAGGAGGTGGGCATGAGCCAGGGCAGTCTCGGGTCTCGCGGTACTTCTCCGGTGCCCTTCAGGCTGAGTATAGCCGGGGGCTGGAGGATTATCTGCGGTTTCCTGATTCTTGAGTGATTGCACTGTACATAGATACTCAATCATATATTAGCGGCTCCGTGCGGCTTGTGCGTGTATTAGTCTATCATGTACAAGCTGGAGACGTCCGCGAGCCACCTGTTCTGCAAATCAACGCTTTGCCTAGTCCGAGTTTGTCTCAATAGGCTCTTCAACGACTCTGGGCATTGTAGCTTACGTCGCAGATTGAACCATCGTAAAACAAGCTTTGTCAGCTTATCAGCTTACATGACTTAATTCTTTCTCACTGTATCTAAAACGTTTGGTGGAGGGTTGTCCCTACTTGGCTCTATCTCATCTTCTCGCACATCGCCCACCACTGTAAGTAACCGATCGAGTTGATGCACTCCATACGTTGGAGGAAAGCTATCTCCCTTTTCAGAGTCTGTGGGCGCTCGGAGATCGTAAGGAACATTGTCTCGGTCATCGTCAGGCTTCATATAGATATGAAGTGGAATATTCTCCGTGATCTAGGCAAGTCCACGTGAGCCCCGTCGTCACTAAAATAGAAGAACATGCGGCTTACCATGTTGACCATCTCCTCATCTTCCTTCGTGCATTCTGCTTCGATAACAAGCACGTGCGTGATTATGATGTTTTTCGATGAAAAGCTCTGCGTGCAGGCGCCTTCCTCTACCAGTAGGGAAACTGGTACGCTGATCTGCTGCAGACCTGGCTTTCTCGGCCGCGTACACTCATGCCGCTCCTTGTAAACAACGTGAGTTATATTCGACGTTATAAAGTTTGTGTCGAACCGCGCAGCTTCTGCAGCCGTTGCAGGAAAGCAGAGGTCGTGTTTTTCTAGCACGCTCGCTGTGACAGCGGATACCGCAGTTTCTTCTGCAGTGAACCAGCATTCCACTGGAAAAGTAGAGCCATAAGGAACAAGAGCGTCTGGGATTGAAAAGTAGTATCCGGTGTCTTGGTTGAAGATGTTTGTTACGGCCTGCCGAACCGTCAGTCCCTTGCAGCACCAGATAGAAGAGAAAGGGGTCAACATGTTTACCTTCAGCGGACTCAGCTCACCATTGACCTGCGGGTGGGGATATTTGTGCACCCTAAGCGGCCGAGATATAACCAAGTCTGGCCACATCCAGCGCTCAACCGTGACCTCCACTCGATAGGCATGGTACTCGTGCTTCGGGCCGGTAAGTGAGTATCGTAACGGGCATCTAACACTGGAATGTCGAACAGAAACTCGTAGTCGCCCTTTGGTATTGTAAAGGCTTTCCGTGCTTTCGAAGACGCAAGTGTCTGGCTGCGTTCAAAGGTGACCTGTTCTCGGAAGTCTGTTAAGAACAGTCCGAACCGTGGCCTAACGCAAGAGTTGGTCAGTAATAATGTTTTCCAATGAGATTTCAATCACCGACGTCTTCATTGTCCCGATGACCCGAACCATGATACCTTCAAACGAGGCCGCACGTGAAAGAGACAGGCACACTCGTCCGGTGATGCAAGTGGGAGGCTCATTGTGCTCGGGACGGCGAGAGGAGAGGAATATACATGAGCGGTCCAGGCTGTATCTCTCCGTTAGGCAGACCTGACACTGGTAGGTGGTAATGATGCCCTACCAGAGAGTGCAGCTTGCAATTTCTTTACCGAGCAGCATTGCCATTGCAGAGTAGTTCTTCACAGCAATTTCAAAGTGGCAGGACCAGGTACACGGGAGATGGCAGCATACAGAAGCAGTGATATTTCGAAGAAAACGACATGAGCTCCTCGAAGGCGATGCGATGGTCGCTTTAAAGCTTCACAGGGCCAGTTGGCTCACCTTCCTGGTCGAGTAACGGCGCCGCCTTAAACCCAAAACGTGCAGCCGCCAGCAGCAGACCCGGCGGGCGCAGTTCCTCTTCGACATTGCCGCCAGAACAGCTAATGGACCTTTTAGATGAGTTCATTAAAATAATGCAGTGCTTCTGCTTAGCACTCTACCGTTGATAGCAACTTAGATTATGATTTTTTTACCTTTCTGTGTCCGTGCTGGGTGATTTTCCCCATTAGGAAAGTCGCTCCACTGCCGCCATGACGATCTGATATCGTGGGCATTGGCCCTCTTGGCCCTGCAAGGATGTCAGCCAAGGATCTAGCAGCCGGACTTATGGCGTCCTACCGTATAGCAGCCTTGTCGAAAGTACCTTGCAGACGCCCGATGACGGACTTCTAACCGCGAACTTGTAAAGCCATAAGAGCTCATTTGGTTACAGCAAGCCCGCTGAATGGGCCGGATCATACGTACCTACACGGATATAGAACAAACTAAAAAATATGGTAGTCCAAGAACATAGGCTGCTCATGGGAGACATTGTGGTCGAGTATAACAGCAAGTAACAAACACCCACACCCACAACCCTACGCCCATCCAGATCAAGCCCGCGCCAACGCCATGTGCCGCCCAACACCCGTGTATCCAGCTGAAAGCAAATATTAACCTCTCCTTTCCCGCCGGCCCCAGCTTAGCACTATACGTCTGCCACAGCTTCGACAGGATGCGCACGTCCTGAGCACAGTACCGTATAACTTCCTCAGAGAGAGGCCTCTCAGCCTACGGCCTTTCTCCTTGACGTCCCTCACTCGATGGCCTCGGCCATTGTCAGCCCGGCATCCCGCTCAATGGCTTTGGTGAGGCCGTTGATGGACGGCGGGGGGATGTCCGCGTTGCGAGCTCGAGGAGCTGGATGTCTTGGAAGCCAGATAGACGGCGAACTGGCTGTATAGGGCGTCGGAGTCGTTGCGGACGTCGAGGAAGGCTTTTGGATGAAGGGGGATTCCAGGACTGACTTTAGACTTATTCCGGTGGAGGATGGGGTCGTGGAGGCAAGGTTGTCTGGGCGAGGGTGTGGATGTCAATTGGGTAGATCTCGTTCCGGGGTAAGACGAGAATCTGAATGATGGAGATGGAGCCGTGGCGGGAGAGGGTTATGCCATCCATCTCGATGTAAAGGGAGGGCGGGTCGTTGGGTACGTTGGGAGGGCTTCGAGAATCTCGGTTAGGGCTGCCGCGGAATCGATGACTTTTGGGGCTGGGCTTGACATGATGGGTTGGGCTGCAGATAGCTAGGAGTAATGATGTCTGGATTTGCGTACGCACAACACAAGGTATTGACGGCGAGAAACCTCATTTCTATAGATGTCTTCCTGTGCGAGAGCTCAGACCTGCTGACACTGGCAGGCATTGATGAATTGAGGACTACCATGTTGCTTTGCTGCGGGATTACGACCAAACCACCAGTAAAAAGACGTAAAAATGCACTTCGAGACCTACCACTGCAGTGTGACAAGCTTATCAATCATGCCTGATGCATACCTCTACAATGTATAATGCACGCAACCCGAAGCAGAAATTCAACGCACGCCGGGGCCATTTGTGCCGAGCCAAGCCCTAACTCAATCCTTCTCCATTCATTCGATGGCACCGGCCATTGATTTCGATCTTTTAAGTACTTAACAGGCTTCTATCTTTAAATTCAGTTCCTCCCTTTCCCTTGCCACAGCAGTGTCTCTCACCAGAGAGGCCACCTGGTCCACTCTTTCATTATCAACGTAGGCTTCTACCCTCGGGCTCTCAAAGCCCTATCCCCACTCGCTCTCCTCGGCCTGAACCCACAACCCAACCAACCTGGGCCCAACCGACATCTACTCGAGGAATTTCACCGGTCGTTGATCCTGTTTGGTTGGATAACAGGAATCCTGGCCCTCTCCCCAGCTTTTCAGAGTCCACCTCTGGGCACGTTTTACTTCCGGCGTGTTCACCTGTACCTGAACCGTGCCTTCAAAGTACAAGTCTTTCATCGTCTCCAATATCTCAGCTCCAAGATCATGACATCACTGTGCCCGCCGAGGAATATCATGGGTCTCCGGCTCCGGCCAGTCCCCCGCCACTGCATCGCGTGCTCCCTGGCCCTACTCCCGATCCTTTACAATGCACCCTTTGCAAGCGCACGTTCCCCAAGACACACAAGCTCAAGCAAGTCGCGGTGTCTACCTTCACCTCATTCTCTTCGATCCAAAGGCCGTTGTTCTGTCCTCTTGCGGCTTGCAAGTACAGTCGGGTGTTTAGGCGTGGGCTTTTAAAGCTGGATAACTCCAGACGCATCTCAAGGTGCATCCGAAGTTGGGCAACAGAATCTGTAGTTTGGTTAATGAGAATGCCATAGCTTATGTGGATTGATGCTGGTAAGTTTTCATAATTATTGGTTTCAATGATTATAGTAGGTAGGTAGCAGTCTATTGTAGATTGTTCCAACTAGAATAGTACAGTAATGTCTAAGGCAGCCTGAGATAAGTAGTTATTCACCCTGGTCATCGCTCGTGACACCCTTATCTGCCTGCTATTTATAGCAGCCTATGCAGCGTGTGAGTATATGAATAACAGTCTACGTTAAATTCAAGGTCAATTGGTGTTAGGGCTAGGTCCACTACTAGTCAACTAGGACGAAGCTTTACAAATCCCTCGAGGAATCAAGTTGGCCCTCGAGGCTGAGCCTTTGCAAACTGTAATAATACTATGATCGCTCGCCACACACCGTGTCGCTACCGAGCGAAAGAAAGGTACGCGAGGTCTCATCACGAGCGCTGCCATATCAACTGCGCCGGTGGTCTGGTTCAGGCTCAGCTTATTGCTTTTGCAAAAGGACTTTGGAGCTTCGCTGTAATATCCTCACTCGACATGGCGGAAGCCAACGCCGCTTCTTTGATGCATACTGCCGGTCGTCTTATTATTTGTTTTTGTTCGAGTAAACCAGGAGAAAAGACGCTGTGCAGTTGGGACTTAAGCCGTTAAAGTCGAGAATAAAAACCAGTCATGAAAACAAAGGGCCGTGCCTTCACAAAGATATTGATATGCGCCTGGTGCCGTCATCGCTGGGCATTCTCGGTGCGAAGAAGAAGATAGATTCTCCATTTGACGTCCACCCCTCCGAGCTAATATGCTATACGGTTTCTTTCCGGGAAGTCGCATTTGCAGCCCTGGGGAAGTGCGAGTATTCCACTGGTTCTTAGGCAGGTCCCCGAGCTTCGAAGACCCCCACGTTCTCCTCCGCATCTAGGTCCAAAGACCGTCTGTCCGGTCTTCTTTTCAGTTGTTCGCGACCTTGGACAGTAAAGCACCGGCGGAGCATACCCTTCCATCCCTCATCTAACAGGTTCCACATCAGTAGTATGCCAACTAGTCTACGCAATGTCGCGCAGCTGATCTGATTGATCTCACTTTTCGCTCTAACCTGGTCCGGGATTGTCGAGCACCCAACTCTAAGGATCCGGCGTTTCGTCGTTGCGGCGAGATAGACAAGCGGCCAGGTCTCTATGGTATGCATAAGAGAGATGCATCATCAGGAACAATAGGCGTCCGCCAGAATGAGCTGATGCGGTTGCTTACGTTATACCAGCGTATGATACCATACTATTGGATATACTCGGGGAGATGGGCCGGGCCGGGCGCCACAGCCCCACCGGCATGCAGGGGATCCACACTCATACATGGGTTGCTGTATGTCATACAATACGAAAGACTCAAGAGCCAGGAGTAGACTGCATGGACTATCTATTGCAAAAGAAGGAGACAAGTGGTGGGAACGGCAAAAGGATGCAAGACTGGTTCGAACGCGGGAGCGCAGAGCTTAAAAAACAATAGCTTCTCTTTGATTGCGCGTCGCCGGGTGTTGCCAACTAGACCATCTCACCGGCCAACTGTCTGCACTTGCTATTAGAATATAACTCCACTTCAACATTATTGAGTCGCATTCTCTCCATATCTATGCTACCTCCTCGATATATGCCCAGAGAACTCCCTATGCCACTTCAGATCGCAATCCTTCATATCTGTATTCAAGGTTCCTAGCAGGTCACCTCGAGTACGGAGGGGGCGCCACATCCGCCGAGTGCCGCGGCAAGACTTCAGCTCTTTCCCCAGTCGCAACCGGAGGTGCAGCCGCAGATACAGGTCCATGAGCGGCATGACCCCGATGGACCTTCGGCGCCGCACGAGGTCCCGATTCCCCTGTACCAATCTCAGCAGTGGCATCATCCCCCGTATCCCGCTTCTTGTTATACCGCCGCACTGCAAAACTGCCAATTAGAACGGCTCCGGCTGCAACGGCTGCCACTGCGATTCCTGCTTCGCCGCCGGCACCCAGCTTCCCTCCGCCTGCACCTGAGCTGGGAGTGGGCGTTGGGGAGAAATATGGGGTTGGCGTGGGGGTATAGGATGGCGTTGGGGTTGATGATGTTGCAGATGTCTCGTTGTAGGTATATGACGTCTTACCCGCGAGCGCGAGACTCTCGGCGTTGCAGAATAACGGCTCGTCGGGGTAGTTGATGTTTCTGTAGGCGTGGATGAGGCTCGCGGGGCAGTGGAGCTTGGAGTCAGAGTCGGGGATGATATCGAGTTTGGAGGCGCGGGTGAGGTTTGTGAAGTTGATTCTGTGCAAGGCGAGTTGATGCGTTAGTTTTTGCTCTTTATCATAAAAGATGTCTCTCAATAGCAGAGATAGGCTGCGGTCCTTACACTGCAAGATCACCTCTGATGTCGATCTCTCCGGCCTCCTCGAGCGCAGAGTAGATCTCCACCGGTGACGCGGCATTCACGGTAATTGTGGCATCGGTCTGCTCTAGTCCATACAAGTCAATGCTATGATGCATTGCTGTTAGTAAGGTAAACATCATCTCAGAATGGTGACTGAACGTACATTGACATATGACCGTCCAGCGCAAACCGCCCATGCAGTTCTCGAAGCGACGGCAGAAGTACCCCGGACATATCGGTATGGTTTGCTACAACCTGCAGTCCTCCGGTATTTACTTCTTTGGGGTATGCTACTTCCTCTGGTTCCCCTAGGGCCTCGAGCTTAGGAGTTGACAGGCTGGTTTGTTGTTGGCAAAGAAACTTATTCTGTAGTGGGGGGCAAGCGACAAACCTTTGAATATGGCCTATAACCCTGAGATCTCGCACGCTCTCGAGAACGGGAAGGTCTATATCCACCGCGTCAAGCCGGTCGTTCACAATCTCTCTAGACGGATCGGTATAGATATGGAGGGTAGATCCGACGGTTTCGAGCGCTGGGAAGGAGACACTGGAGCGGTATCGGTCAGGCATGCTCAATACTTATGTCCGCAGTCAAAAAGTCAGGGTTCATACTTCGTCCAAGTCCCCGCGATATCAATCATATTCACCGTCTTCAACGCGCCAAAGTCCATCACGGCATTTTCAGCTCCCTGGATCAAGTCCAACTGCCATGCAACGCTTTCCAGCCGCGGCATCTGGATGCTTCGCACTCCCCAGATTCTGTAGAGCCTGATATCCGTTATGGACAGCAGGTTGCGCATCTCGATTGCTTCCAGCCCATGATTGTCTGCATCGAGATTACCCAGGATTCTGCCTGTGAAGTTGGTCACGGTGTTGAGGACCAGCGAGCCGGCAAAATCTGGGTGGATTCTGATGTCGCCGACGATGGTCTCGCAGTCGCCTAGTGGGGTCAGTTGGTCGGGGGCCGTTAGGGTGAGCGAGTGCGAAAAGCCGTAGAGGGGGACGGTCTCGTTCGTGAGACATTCCCGGGCGCGGGTGCCTGCAGCTTATATTTTAGCATATATAGTAGTCATGATGATGGGGCCAACATACCTGTTAGCAAGGTCCCGACGAGGAGGGCGGCCAGGGTAATCTTGTTGTGAATCATCGTTGCTGTGCTCGTCTTGGCATATCGCAGACAGGAGGCTGCGACGGTGTCAGAAATGTAGAACGATGTGATGGAAGAGAGGGACATTGCGTCTGTTAAGTATCCCCTCCTCATCTCCCGGGCACCGCCAGTTGACTTGGCATGGCGCTTGGTTGGTGCCCGGGCACTATACGCGCCCACCGGGGCGTTCAGGGCTGGGCCTTGGCCGGAACCAGGCCTATCAACGCCCCAGAAAGTCTCCGCAGCTGTTTTGGGAGTAGTCGAGGTCATCAAACGTCTTTTGTTTTCTGTGTTTGTGCCGCCTGCTCGCTCGACGGGAGGCAGATCCTGATGTCTGATGACGGGACCACGAAGGTTCGAGAGAAGGGAAGATCAAGACCAGATACCATGGACAGTGAGTGACACGTTGGAGATGGAGGGAGGAGATGGATTTTGAGCGAGACTTCTGCTGCCTGAAAATATGGAAATCCAACGCCTCGAGATCCGGACAGTCTTGCCGCCAGACCGAAAAATGTGAATACACCATTGAAAGAGAGAGGAAAAGAGAACAGAAAAAAAGAGAAAAAAGAAGAAAAAAAAGTAGAAGACAACCAAGAAGGAACAACCGTCATACAATAAACGCCGTGAACATGATGCCATCCGCTGTTGCATTGATTCCAGCGACCGTACAATCATCAAAGCGCCAACAACCATCCATCGCCAGGCTAAAATGCGAATAGCAGAAACCTGGGCAACCCAGCTCATAACACCACTTGATGCACCGAACCTCAACGAAGATACGGAATATGGACCCCAGTTGTCGTCAGGAAAGATGGAAAAGCAAATGACCGGGAGAGAACACTCACTGGAGTAATGTCGGCAATGCACCAAACGGATATCAGGCCAGTGCACCCTGGCCATGGCCATCGCACAACGTAGTCGTCGCCGGGGCTCGCGGTCAACGTTGAGGAAGAGGATTGCCGCCGGGTTGGAAAACCATCATGCCTCGAAACTTCTCAAACTCCGAATACATTTGATCCATCAGTCCTAGCTGGAAGTGCAGGCTATCGTACAGAAAGAGGTTCTCCCCAGCCTTGGCCTTTTGGATCCTGTCCGTGATGGTGCGAGCGGTGGCATACCACTCGTCGAGCGTTTCCTGGGTCGCTTTGACCACGTACCCGCTGATGCTTCTCTCTGTCGGGCGCCTTCGGTACCTCGCGCGGATGTTGACAAACGTGAATTGGATAAGCATGCTGGGCCGTGACGAGATGTCTAGGGGGAGATAGAGAGACTGTGGAAGAGAAAGTGGGGAGTTGGAGCAGTCGCTGGAAAGTGGACTTGGAGAATATGACGAGAAATCGTGAGAAGATGATGCAGAAGCTGGGGGAGTACGGATTCAGAGAACGTGAGGAAGGATCCGGAGTAAGATGGTGAAGGAGTCGAGAAAGGAGGCTGTTGAAAGTCAAGGTAGACTGGGAGCGGTGTGTAGAGACTCGAGGATGTTCAGTGAATGAAGAGGGACAGTCGTCCCATTCACTGGCGGAGAGCAAGGGGATCGAGACGTCGTGGTTGGTACAATGCAATAGAGAGTCATATACTACTGGGAAAGGCAACACAAATGTTAAGCTTCATTTGCATGGTGATATATAACGTATCCATATACTGGTTGTGCCCAACGGCATTGTATATAGGACAGCCTCTAAAATCAACGAGAGTATGAGGGGTTAAGAAGATGTCAACCATCGGATGTCGGCCGAGCGTCATCTACAATTCAGTCAGAATGGATAAGGATAAAAGGGACGGGCCAGTACCAAGCAAACGCGACCACACGCTCATCCCAGCCTAAGCGCGGGGCTTCTTGAGACAAAGAAGAGGGTTGTGCAAGTGCTCAACGATAACCTCCCCGGTATACTTGTCTGGAAGCTCCATCCAGGAGTTGAAGAGGTTCGGGAACGCCTTGAACTTGTAAACAAACCAGCGGTTATCAACATTCTTAACCAAGAAGCTCTTGTTAACCGCAGTCCAACTCTCAAGAGCCTCCTCGCTAGAAGCAGTGATCCGGTAGTGATTATCGCCGTTGTCACGGCCGTCTTCCTACATTGCAATAATGATTAGCTTCTTGTAGGTACATGTAGACAGATGCGGGGGGCGGGGATGCAGTCTTACGGTGATGCCGACAGCGTAGGCAGTGATGCGTCCGGGCATGGTTTGATGGGATGGCAGAGGTTGCAAGAAAGTAAACAGTTGATGGAATGGTGGTGTGTGAGGAACAACAAGGGGGTGAAGAGGGAAGATGTTGGACGCTCCCTGCCTTGGTGCCTTAGGCATCCAGGCATCCACGCTTACCCGTTTGGGACTAGCTGCACGTGACTTGCAGACCTTATATATAGCGCCTCCGGTAGCCACCCAATAGAAGACTCAGGCTTTACCTACAACGCTCTCTATGTTATTAGGTTATAAGCCGCTACTCTGTCCCAGCGCTTTAGTAACTATACGTCTTATTTTTTTTTTTATTAGCCGGAGTGAAAGCCTCCCAAAGCGCTAAAATACCCCAGGTTTTTAACATGCAAAATTTTCACGCCTTTTTTAATACCCCTGGCCTACGGCTAATCATTCCTCTTTACTATCTTTTTATAATACCAACCGTTTAGTACTAACAGTTTGGCTACCTGCAGCTAGCTAATCACACCCCTTATTATCTATATTTACCACGCTTGCATGCTACCATTTTAATACTTGTTATAGGCTAGCTATTATCGGGTGCAGACCAAGGGCTTTCTCTAAGCTAATTAGATTTTTTCCAGGGGCCTGGATAAAGGGTAAATTTAGGGGTAGTTAATCCTAATATAAACCAGCCAGGTAGTAATCCCCCCCGCATGCTATTATTTTAATACTTATTATAGGCTAGCTGTTATTAGGTATAGACCAGGGGCTTTATTTATAAGCTAATTAAATTTTTTTTATAGGCCCGGGCAAAGGGTAACCTAAGGGTATCTAAGTAAACCCGGGGGTAGTTAATTTTAATACAGGCCGGCCGGGGTGTTCCCTTTATATATAGCGCGTGTTTTAAGGTTGCTTCACGCGGGGTATAGTACTGCAGCCTTATTTTATACTTTTTTTTTATACTTTGTTTTAACTTCTCCGGCCTTAATTAGCCAAATTTTAATAATACTATTTTTTTATTGGCCACCGGGCCGCTCCTCACGCTAAATTTAAACCTTATACCCTTTCTCCGCGCGCTAAGCTACTTCCCGCATATAAACCTCCGGGGTACTAAAATATTAAGGGGTATAGCTTATTTAGCTAGCTAATAATAGCTTTATAAGGGGTGTATACCTTATATAATTAGCTAATAACAAGCCTTTAACGCCTTTATACTCCTGTTCCCCGCGCTAAGCTATTCCCTGCGTCAAGCTATTCCCTATATTAAATTTAACCTACTAGGATACTAAAATAACAAGGGGTGTATAATTTTATAGCTAGCTAATAACAAGCTTTCTAACGCCTTTATACTCTTATTCCCCGCGCCAAGCTATTTCCCGCGCCGAGCTATTTCCCGCGCCATAATTTTTATAAGGGGTGTATAGCTTGTCTAGTAAGCCAATAGCAGCTTTTTAAGGGGTGTATACCTTATAAAACTAGCTAATAACAGGCCTTAAATATTTTATACTTTCTTTTTTCCACGCTGCCAGGCCAACAGGGGTATAATTTATTAAATTAACTAATAAAAGGTTAATAAATAGTTTTTTTTTTCTCCGCCTGTGAGCTTTATATATTTCCTAATTAGGAAAGACCACCGGGTTTAATTTTTTATATATATTAGCAGTTTACCACGTTTGCTAGTCAAGGGGTGTGTTGGACGCTCCCTGCCTTGGTGCCTTAGGCATTCAGGCATCCACGCTTACCCGTTTGGGACTAGCTGCACGTGACTCGCAGACCTTATATATAGCGCCTCCGGTAGCCACCCAATAGGAGACTCAGGCTTCACCTACAACGCTCTCTATGTCATTAGAAGATATAACCCAAAGTTGGTGGGTGGGCACAAAGGGCCGCCCTTTCCAGCAAATCCGTTCAATCTCCAAGGCTTCCATCACATGCATCTGGCTCTTTGTTCTTGAGAGCGGTACAGCACTCCTTGCCTTCCCATGGTTGCATTGGATATTGTCACTGATTTATTCTCATTGACTTGTGGGGCCTGCATCCAGACCAAGTTGCAGAGCATCCCCAGTGTATCCCATGCATTGTCCTTCAGAAGGATGCAGCACTCCTTCCCTTCCCATGGGTGCATTTGTTCTTCCTGGAAGGACAACGACCGTCGGAAATTGGTTCCGAGCACTGTCACTTGGCTTGAGTCATCCCGCCTTCTGTCAGACACTTCCCGCATCTCAGGCTCTCCGCTACCATCGCCCCGCTTTTCGGTGAATTGCTTTTACTCTCGAAGAGAAAAGGGTCCCTGTTTGTACTGTTCTCCTGTTTTGCTCTCGACGAGAAAGGGTTGAGCCAAGTGGCCTTCCCTGTTTGTCCTGTTCTCCTGCTCCAGCAAGAGTTGTGCCGAGTCGTCTTGTCTGTGTGTTGCTCCTACGTGTCCTATCTACCATAAAGAGGTGAGCCAAGTGGCCGCCTCTGTTGGTAGTATAGTCGCAATGGAACCCGCTGCTTCCTCTCCCTCTTCCCCTGCTGCTGCTACATCCTCTCCGGCTCTCGTCTCTCCGACTGCCACTTCTTCCGCCGGCCGCGCTCCCGATCCGTTTCCTGAATTCGACGATGAAAAACGCCGTAAGCTCATTCAGGAGATAAAGAAAGCCCTCGAGGACCCAGAAGAGACAGGGAAACTCACCCCCATGTTCGTTGACCCTGGAAAAAACGCATGTTTCTGGCTTGCGGAGTACGAGTACCTTGAGAGATGGTTTGCCAAATATATCAGGGGTCAGCAATTTTACGAGGCCGAAGTACACGTCCAGCCAGATGCGAGACTGATGAAATCTCTGCGTATTTGTCAGTCTATGCACCCTCGACACTATGTTGCAAAGCTAACCCATATTTTCGTAGGGCTGACCAAGGAAGTCCAGGGTCAGGATACGCGAAAACGCAAGTTCTCTGACGGGTCCCAAAGATCAAGCAGCCCAACCGAAATCCCCCGCCTTGCTAGAAGTGCCGACAATGTTCCTCTGGCGATCCCATCAACTCCTACTAGCGTACTAACCCCGTTGACCTCGCCGACCCCATCGACCCCATTGACGGCACCTGCACCCTCCACACTCTCCCGCCCCAAGCCCAAGGCGTACAGTCATAGCAATCCAGTCGCGAATGCCGTGAGTCCAATGCAGCCACATGATTTCAACATCCTAACAATATCACAGTGTAGGGAAAGGGATCAAGACAAATGTGTTATCACGAAATGGGACCTTGACAATCAGGTTGCGCACATCTACCCTCACTCGCTGGGTAACGCCATTGGCAAACGGGAGTGGGACAGCTTCTGGAACCCCCTTCGCATTTTCTGGTCGCCAGCTCAAATCGATCAGTGGGAGAACGAAGTCCTCGGGAACATGCGTACAGAAATCCCACCTAATCTACTATGCCTTGCGCCGCATGTAAAGACCCTCTGGGACAAGGCGAGATTCGGCTTGAAGCCAATAGGGCCAAAAGAAGACGGCCATGCCCTCGAAGTCGAATTCCATTGGTTACCGATGCAGATGGACAGGAGAATCTTTGTGCGGATCGGCGAAGTACCTCCAAAAGCTCGTCCTAGCACCATCAAGGCCAAGTTCCGGAACATCGAGACCGACGAGGACATCGAGTCGGGCGATCGGTTACTTCTGAGAACTCCTGACCCCCAAAGGTGGCCTCTCCCGTCAATGAAACTGTTGAGTATGCGGTGGACATTGGACCGGCTCTGTGCCTTGGCTGGCGCAGCTAAGGAGTATGATGATGACGACCAGGATCACGACGATCCCATGGTTGAACACGTAGGATCTCTCTGGGAGGAAGATGAAGAAGGGTGGAACTATACCGAGGAAGATTACACATCGTAAGTAGGGATGGAGGGTTCCAAATCACGTCCATGATGGGCACGGGTACATCCATGGATGAGGAAGGAAGTGAATGAGCACTTTGGATTGGAAATGACTTGGTAGATTGTCCCTGTAGCAACTCGCCTGATTGAGTAGAGGCATTCGCGTGGTCACCACGGAATCGATTCCTTTCATGGGCTCTTTCATGAGCTCTTGGCGATTGGCGCGGTCCTTAGCCTTCTGCTTCCTGGTACCCTACCTAACTCTGCCGACCGTTGTCTCGGCGAGCCACCTCACCCTTGAAATTGAGCAGGAAGATTGTAGGACCACGGCCGTCTTCCACAATAAACATATTTCAGAAGGTTAATCCATATTGCAGCATTGCTCGCTGGTGCATTATAGAACCGAACAAACTTGCTCCTTCCTGTCATCATCTGGTAGTAGAAAGTCCCGAAGGTTCCGAAGGTCTCAAACTATCCTAAAATCTTTGTACAAGCGCCACGAATCGATGAGAAGAAAAAGGCTGACCACATGGTATGTAGCCATGGGAAGGGATGGAGTACTGTGTGCTCGAGAACAAAGAAACACACGGATGGAATGGAAGCCCTAGAGTTCGAGACTCACAGCATTGCCAGGAACGATAGCCCTTTGTGCACTCCCGCCCTCTCAAGCAGTCAGCTTCGAGTTATATCTTCCCTCTTCCCTCTTCCCTCTTCCCTTCTCCCTCCTCCATCTTCTTCTCTTCCCTCTGCATTTCATTCTCGCAGATTCCCATCCATCATCCATCAACCATCCACCTCTCCAACGATCAACTCCTCCATACCACACTCCCCACCACCCACCCAAACATGTCCGCCTTCATCACTGCCTACGCGGTCGGCCTAACCGTAAGCCCCCATTCCATCCCCACTGTCTCCACAAAGTTGCTAAGCACTAGTTATCCAATACGGTAGAACGGCGGCCTCGACAACGGCGAGAACCGCTACCGCATTAGCGCATCCAGCGAGGAGGCCCTCGAGCGCTGGATTAAGAATATTGAGAAGTCCCTTATCAAGAATGTCAACAACCGCTGGTTCATCTTTGACTTTAACGGGTTCCCAAACATCTACAACTCCTTCCTTGATATGCCCAAGGCCCATGCCGGCGAGATCATTATTGAGCACTTGCACAGCCCGCTTGTGATGGGCAAGAACCCGCCTCGTGTTTAGACAGGGCTTGGTTGGCTGGGCAGAGGCGCCGTCTGCTGTGGATTGTATGTCGCGAGTCCGATTTTTTTTCTTTCGTTGAGGTGCTGACTTGGTTGTAGGCTGGGCGGACGGGATGGATCCTGACTTGACGTTTTGGGGTGTTGTTTTGTTGGCTTTATACTTTCGTTCATGTCCAAGGCCGTTCTGTATGTAACCAACGAAATGAAAAAAAAAAAAAAAAAAAAAAATTGTTTGCTTTGCATGGAGCCATTACTCTCATACACTGTTTCGCTCAGTCATTTATGGTGGCGCTTCTCGTAGAACTCCCGAATCATACGGTTCTTCCCAGAGCTTGAAATGTATATCCTATGGGGATGATGCTTACCTTAGTAGATAAAGAGGACTGCAGAGGTAAAGCATTCCCGTCCATGGACCGGAAACTCTTTCGCACGGTATGCTCGGTCTATTTTCTCTACACCTAGGATAATGCGGATGGGAGGATCTGAACTGGTTACATTATTGACGGTGTTTCCCTTCGTGACCCAGTCAAAGTTACCACCTACTTGGTCATGGAAGGCCCTCGTGGTTTATCTATTGTTCTAGCCAGGTGGTTACTACCATGGGTATTGATAGTCCTGAGTCAAGCAACGCTGGAAACGGACGGGAGGTTTGGCTTGCAGGTCGGGTTTCAAGAAGGACGGTGGAGTTGGCCTCGTGAGACTCGGTTGGTAGTGAGTATAGTATAGATCTTGGGCAGCTATCTAGCCATGTTGAGACACCAAGTGAATCTCGACTATTTACTGCATGCTGATTGTTTTAACCTCTGTTTAGGTTGAACGCGGACCTCGCAGTGGCACCCATTCTCCGGAGTTCATGTCCACAGGTGGATAGAAGACGAGATGCCCAGTCGTCTTCTACCTAGGCTCGGTTCGCTCAGAACACATACTTAAACATGCCATTTCTTTGACCACTCATCCCAAAATAGTCTTCCATGTACCCGGTCCACGCCTCCCATTTTCCGCTGTCCCACAGCGCATACCCGGCACCACAAAACAATATTCTGAATCACCTGGTAAATGCGGTGTATAGGTAATTTCGTCCATCATCAACATCATCTTTGTAAAAATGTTGATAGCTCATTTTCCAGCAGCCACTAGGACGTTTCTCCATGGGTAGCGTTTCGACTTGCTGTTCAAACCTCTCAAGATCGAGCTCATATTGGCCTGCGGGGTGCCGGAAAGGATGCTTGTTTGCAAGTTGGGGGTTATTCATGAATTGGGGAAACGGATATGGAATGGTAAACACGCAGCCTGGGATGTTCCCGCGATCTAGGCTGTCGTCGATGAAGTAGTTCCGGTCGTATTCTGAGTAGTATAAGAAGTTGTAAACGAAACGAGGGCCCTGCATAGCGACATACGAGATGCCTTCACTGTCGATATGGTAATTTTGGTCGATTTTCAAATTGGCCCGCATAACAAGGGGCTCAACTCTGTTCCTAAGTACCTACCAGACGCTGGCTATCTCATCCATCTCCCACGGGGGCATGGTCAGAAACAGCGTCTGTCATCTGTAGGAAGGGTTTAAAGCCACCGAGATCCTGACTATCGGGAACGTGCGTGTCTCCGTAGATATTACTCCATATTTACAGGCGATAGAATCCTCTGTAGAAGCGCCTCCTTTCCTCTCCCGACACCTGTATGGGTAAAAACGGCGACCACTCGCGTTCTGGCATCCCTATCGCGCAACCCATCGTCTTCTTCAAGCCCTCGATGAACCAGTTCGCGAGCTCGTGCAAGCGAAGTAACTCGATGATCTCATCCACATCTCTCGGTCTGACGAATTGGAACTGTCGACGACTATCCAAGAGATCAATAGCTGCTTCTTTGGTTTCATCGTCTTCCATGGAAAGGCCTCTTGATCGAACAGCAGCAATCGCATCTGACAGGATCACTAGTCCGCCGTAATAATTGTGGAGGATATTCTGTAGGATCACATATCGTGCTGCTCGGTAGGCTCGGCGGGAAGCTGGCGAGGCGCGAACACTGGATTTCAGTGAAGAAAGGTCCGGCAAATCGCACATTATGAGAATTAGGACATCGCCTGGAAGGCTATCGAGATCCGATATCGCCTATGGTGGTGTTGGACTCAAGGTCAGCAGGTGAAAGAGCTTTGAGAAACTGGAGGAACTGACCATGGCCTAGTCCGAGAAGATGATAACAGAAGAGCGTACTGTGGTCTCAACTTGCAAGATAGTGGCAGATGCGAAGTTTATAACTCAAGGAGATATGTTATCTTTTTGCGGTTGAGAGCGCGTTAGCCATGGTTGCCAACACTGAGTCACCTTGCGTCCAAAGAACAGGCAGCATGAATTATCAGCCGAATTCAAAAGAAAACTTTGAAAGTTTGTAAGCCTTGGGCGACGGTTGTTTCCTATTGAGCTCGTAGCCTCGCCAAGCCGCACAATGCATTGCCTGCGACATGCGGTTGAGGAAGGTTGAGGAAGGTCGTGGGCAGATGAGAACTACCTAGGAGCCCGGGGAGCAACACAAACGACTTGCTCCCAAACAATCCCCTCTCCTGAACCCCTTCTCTCCCTCTCATTTTACGCGCCACTCACTGCTCATTTAATTACCACCGTAATAGCCCTTGGTTTTCGACTCTCAGGCCGTGTATCTAGCATAAAGCAGCACAATTCGCCTCATATCGAGCCAACAAACGGCCAGAAGAGAAAGACCAAATCTCCCAAGAGGAAGCGTGTCGGCGTCTACCATTTTTCAAGTCATCTCTTCCATCCTTTTGAAAGGTGCTGCCGGACCAACTCGATAGCCAGATCACAACTAAGTGGCTTGGAAAAGCCGGACGTATCCAAAGAGAGTTGCTATCTCACACAGAGTCCATCTCAGAGACCGCCAATATCACAGTACGGTAGATAATCCAGACTCCTTTTGTACTAGGACTAAATATCCTCCAATAGAGTGCTTTACTGCGGCGGAAAGGGTCGCCATCAAGCACATTTGGGCTTCGTTGGAAAATCCATCGCGCGGTCTATCCTGATTGAATCCTGATTGAACGGCAATTATCCAGCCTCTTGTCCAAATCACGTCTGGGACCAGAACTGCAACCAGCCAAGAAGAGCACTGGAACTAGAAGAGAGCAAGAGCCGAAGACATGAATCCCCAAGTAAAAGCGGAAGAAACCGACAGCACTGAGCCGGAATTCGAGCCCGAGCAGCTGCTAATATCCTTCGACGACCACAACAACCGGAGCGAGGCCTGGGACGTCATACAGCAACAAGCACAAGCACAAGCTGGAGCTGGAGCGCAGCCTTTCACAATCCCCCCTCCACCGCCTGCAGGTGCGGAGCAATTCCACCACTGGTGCATCGAGCGCCACGGCTGCTGGGCCAGGAACGGCGCATGGATTAGCGACACGTACCATGAGGTCTACCAGCTAGCGAGTCTCGACGGAATCAAGGCATACTACGAACGAGGTATGGAGTTGCCACGCGGTAATCGCGGTCTGATCTTTGAACTCATGGGACATGCTGAGCCGGGTCTCCGGCTGTACCCCTGGGGCCTGCCTGCTCAAAAGCTGTACGACGGGATGAAATGCACGCATGTTGAAGACAGATACTACAGTCTTGACGTGCGGGACTTCCTCATTGATCTGGAGAAATGGTATTTTGGGCGGTCCGTTGATGGGAAGAGGGAATTGCAGGCGATTCCGCTGTATCGGTGGCCGCTTTCGAGGAGGATGGCTGATAAACGGGATGAGGTTTTTGGTCTTGACCAGGGGATGTGATGGGAATATAGAAGGGGCTTTAACGTTTGGGTTGGTTTGATAGTCAACCTTCGGTGTGCACTCAGTGCGCTGAGCTCCAACTCCAAACTCTTCCAGTGTCACGTAGACTCAATGCTTTCGATCGCAGCCTTCAAGTTGATACCACTTATCTCCAGCCTACGCCAGCAATCAAAGCCTACTTCCCGCAGCCCCCCTAGGCAAAATATAAAGACACTCCGCCTCCGCCAGCACCTTCCCCTCTCCATCCCTTATATCCCCCATAATCCTCCACTTCCTCTCTTTACTCTCCACAATCCGCGCCGAAACAACCACCGTCCCCGGCGTCACCACCGGCCCCACGAACCTCGTATTCAGATACGCCGTCACCGGCCCCTCCATCCCCGGCTGGCCCCCGCCAAGCCGCAGACTCAGCGTAAGCCCCATGCACTCGTCCAGCAGCGTCGCGACGATCCCGCCGTGCAGGATACCGGGGTACCCATTTAGATCTGAGCCGAGGGTGCAGAAGATGCGGATTTCGGAGGTTGGGATTGCGCTTGGGGAGATGGGCTGGCTGTGGGGTTCTGGGCGCCGGTATTGGAGGAGGCAGGCGGGGATTGTGCGGGCGGTGTTGAGGGTCGTTGAGAAGAGGGCGTCTTCGGTGCTGGGTTTGAAGATGCGGGAGGGCGTTGGGTGCGTTGTGAAGGTTGGGTCGGTGAGGAGGTGGGATACCCAGGGGATTGAGCGGAAGTGGGAGGTGTCGTCTGGCATGCTGTCGTGGATTGATGTGTGACGGAAGGTTTGTTGACGCGCGAATTGGGGATGGGCAAGGCCGCTGGGCTCCAGTGGCTCAGGCACGTGCGGGGGCGGAGGCATCCCCACGGGCGTCGACTCTTCTCCGCATCCTCTGTCAACTTCCTATTTTCTCCTCCATCATCATCAGTCCAATGCTTTCTCTTACATTGTAGAGCCTGAGCGTCTTGGACTATCATTCCGCGGTCTCCAATCACAAAAACTATGTCAGCCAAAGGTGGAGTTTGGTGGAGTTCTTATTTGTTAACGCCTTTACATGCCGCGTTAGTATAGAAAAATAAGGCGCTTAATACCTTACTATTTTAATAAAGGAATTAGGCCACTAATAAGTTTTTAAAGGCTTAAAATATTTATATAAACCCTTAGGTAGCTTTAGCTTTTAATAAATAACTTATTTTTTTTATTTTTTTTTTAATATTTAATTAATTACTTTATTAATTAATATAGTATATAAAGGGCCTTATAATTATAAGCCTAAATATTAACTTAATAGTTTAGCTTATTAAATTTTTACCTTTTTTAAATATTTTAAAGCTATTTATACTTTTAAATACATGTTTTAAAGCTATACCAAGCCCTTTATAATTAATTACCTTTTTTATTAAATTAAAATAAATATTAATTAATTTTTAACTTTTATACTTAATTTAAAAATTATTATAAGCTTTATTAATAATATTATAAGTATAAAAATTATTTTTAAGTTTAAAAATAACTAGCTAGCTTAATATAGCTAGATTTTTTACTTTACTTAAATAATAAAAGTTTAAAAGTTTCTTAACCTAAATATTTTTAAAAAAAAAAAAATCTTTTTTTTTCCTAAGTTGCCTTTTAAAAATATAATTAAAAAGGTATTTAAAATATATAATAAATACTAGCTTAATACTAAGTATTATTATATTAAAGTTTAAAAAATAAATAAAATTATTTAAAAAACTATTACTATTTTTATTTAATAATTTATTAAAAATAAACTTATTATAAAGGTTCTAGCTAAATTAAAGTAATAATTTATTTTAATTAATTTTAAAATTAAACTAAAGGTATTTAGTAATTATTTTATAGCCTTAAATACTTTAATTTAATAAGGTAAAATTAATAATTAACTTTAAAACTATAAAAAATACTTACTAAAAGATTAAATACCTTAATTAACTTAAATTAAAAAATAAAATAGCTAATATAACCTTCCTGCGGATAATTAGTAAGTATTTAAACTTTTATATAAAATAAAATATTAATTAATTAAACTAAAAAGGTGCTAATTTAATTTCTTATTTTTAGTTTATATTTAAATATTAATAATATTTTTTTATAACTAATAGCTTTTTTAAAAACTTTATTAAAGTAGTGGCCTTTATAACTTTTAATAAAAAATTAAATTTTTTTTTTAAAATAGTATTAATTAATAATAAGCCTTTTTATTTATATAGCTATTTTTAAGTAATAAAGTAATATTAATACTTTATATAATTATATAAAAAGCCATGGTATAAACCTAAAAAAAATATAAATAAAAAGGTTAGTAAAACTTTTAATAAAAATAATAAATATAGTAAAAAACTTTAAAAGGTAAAGGCTAAAAATAAATAAATTCTTAAAAATTAAAAAAAATTAAAAAAAAATTAAAAAAAAAAGCTTAAAAAGCTTTTTTAGTTACTTAAACTATAATAAAAAAAATATTATAGCTATATACTTATTATAAGTATTTAAAATAATTTAATACTTTAAAATACCTTTATTTTAATACTAGTGCCTTTATTTATATTTATAATAATTTTAATTATTTTACCTTTTTTAATTAATTAAAAAAAGGTAATATTTAAGTAAAAAATATAATTATTATTATTTAAAACATAAAATTAGTACTTCTTTGTCCTAAGGCTTTAAATAATAAAATAATATTTTTTATTTTTAGTAAAGTAGCCTTTATACCTAGCTTTTATATTAATATTTTAGTAGCTAGGCCTTTTAAAAAGGCTAAATATTTTTAGGATTTTAATACTTTAATTATTAAAAATAATAAACTAGTATTTTATCTTAAAAATTACTTATCTAGCCTTTAAATAATTAAGTTTAAAAAAAACTTAAAGCAAGAAAAGGCTAATACTTTAACTTAATAAAAAATTAAAACCTTAATTTAAAAAATTTATGTTAAAAAAATTTTTAAAGCTTTTTATTAGCACCTAGGCTATATTAGTAATAAGGTACTTTAATATTTACTTATTATAATAAAAAAAGTTTAAATTACTAGTTTTTAACTACCTTAGTAATATAATACTTGTAGATATAAATAAGCCTTTTAATAAATATTTAAAAGGCCTAAAAATCCTGCTACTATACTATTTAATTAAATTTACTTTAACCTAATTTTTATAAAAAAAGTAATAAATAAAAAAAAAGTAAGTAACTTATTTTTATAATAAAAATACTAAGTTTTACTAGGCTTATATTTACTAGGAGAAAAGTAGGTATAAAAATATTATTAAATAATATATTAAGCTTATTTAAACCTAGTTTAGTATTACTTTTAAAATCTTTTTTAATAATTATAAGCTTATACTTAGTAATAATATTCCTAACTTTATTATATTTTAAGGTATACTTTAAAACTAGTTTACTTTTTATATTTTTTTTTTAAATAGTATGGCTAAGTGCTTTAGTAGTATATTAATTAAAAAAGTAAAAATAATAGCTTTTTATAAAAAAATCCCTTTTAATATATGGCCCTGGGTTATAAAGGTTATAACTTATATTAATAATTAAATTTTTATTAAGCCACTAAATTAAAAAATATTATAAAAAGCACTTACTAGTAAAAAACCCTATATTTTTAGTATTAAAATATTAGGTTATTTTGCCTGGGTAAGATAATCCTAAATAAAAAGTTTTTATAAAATAAAACTAAAGGCTTTATTAGGGTACTTACTAGGCTATATTACCTTAAATATTTAGTAAATTTAGCTTTTTAAAAAATAGCTTATATATACCTATAAAAATATTATTTTTAATAAGTTTAAATTATATAATTTAAAAAATCCCTTTTTTATTATTAATATTAAAATTAAGTTACTAAAGCCTTTAGCCTAAGTTTTTAATATCCCCTTTTAAAACCGCGAAACCAAAAAGATTAATTTTAACCTTAATTTTAATAAATTTTTTAAATAAAAAAAAAATAAGGGTATTTTAAACATAAATAGGCCACGGGTGGTAAAGATTTTAAAAAAAAAGGTATTAATAATAGTAGTAAGTATAAAATAAAAAATAAGGCTTAAAATACTGCTAGTAAAATTAAAAATATTATTAGTAAAAAAAAGGCCCTTAATTAGCCAAGCGGGTTTTTATACTTATTAACTTTTACGGTAACTTTTAAACCTTATTATTATAAAAGGCTTATATAAAACTTGGCCTTATAAATAGCTTTAAAAGCCTATTTAAAAAATCCCTAGTAATAAATTTTAGTTTTTTAAGTATTTTAATATTTCTTAATTAATTTAGCTAGTAAGTAGTTACTTAGGGAAAATAAATAAGCATACCTAGCTTTTTTTTAGCCTTTAAGCTTAGCGCGCTTAAAGGGTGGAATTTTAGTAACTTTAGCTTTTTTTTTAGAATAACCAGGCGCAGGCTTAAATAATATAATATTAATAATTATATATATAATTTAGACTTAAATAAAGCACCCTTAAATAATTTAAATAACCTTAATTATATTTAATTTACCTTTTTTATTTTTTATTAAAACCTTGTAAAAAAACACCTTTATTAAAATAATTTACCTTTTTTTTAAGCGCTGGAGCAATCTTAAAGACTATTTACTTTATAATAAGTTTTTAAAAGCTTTAAACTTTAAATTAAGAATACTTTATAAAATAAAAGCATAAAAAATAATAAATAAATAAAAAGTAAAAATAAATAAGCTAATCCCTTTACTATAAGTTTTTACTTATAAATTTAATATTAATAACTATTTTATTAAGGCTAAAGCCTAAATTTATATATATAAAAATTTAAAACTAAAATTCTTTAAAAAAATTAAGTAGTAACTACCTTAACAAGGGCCTTTAAAGCTTTTATAATATTTATAGCTACTTTTAACCTTAATTTTAATTAAAAAAATATTATTAACATGTTTTTTAATACTACCCTTAAAAAAGTAGTATATTTTTACTTTTTAAATAATTATAAATAGCGGGGTAAGTTACTAAAGGCCC